AACAATCTCATTGTTATACTTGAATATACTCAATATACTAAATTATATACTAAATTAGCAAGATCTTAAATTAGCGGGATGACATATTAGCTAAATTGGCTTAAATAACATTCCAGCTAAAAAAGACATACAGTAATTGCTCTTACAACCAAGGACATAATAGCATGGCTGTTTCTCATCAGTGCTGACTGTGTAAATGCACACTAAAAATACTACATTCTGCTTTTTGTATGTATACTGTCACAAATTACTTCAAGCCATATATAATGGAAAACGAGAAACTCACTAAATGAAACAATATTATGATTCATATCAATATTAATATATTTCATCCTATGTCTCCAAGCAAAATTTGAAGATACTAAAAAATTTCCTCCTGAAAACCAGTGCAAAAATGCAAATCAAATAAAAACTTTTTTTTTCATTTTCGGTATCCTAATGGCATGAATCCACAATAATGAAAGCCAGATGACATATAATCTTTAATTTGACTCAAACCTCCATAAGTACTAGATGACGTACCTCTTTCCAGCAGTGCAGGTTGTTCAATGTCAGATCCAACTCTTTTACCCCGGTACATAACTGTTCTATTTCCCCAGCATTCCCTGCAGTGCTTATACCACAGTCATTGAGTGTCAGACATGTTGGAATGAAGAGAGAACCTGGAGCTGAAAATAAAGCTAATATTTTGAGCTTTAAGAAGCAAGAAATGATTAACAGGGAAATTCTCTGGAGTCCTGGTCATGGAGTGTCAGCATCTTCTGCAAATATTTTGTCGTCACAGAAGCCATAACAACATTAAGTCATGAAAATTACCAGCATTTAAGGTAGAAGCCTACTCATAAATTAAAAAACCCAGAATTTATTCATTTTGCAATAAACTGTACTCCAAGGCAATATAAGGATATTGACCTAAAAAAAAAGTTGGGGGTCACCACCCTTTTTTTCGAGAAAATTATGGTTTTATTATAACACTTTTACCATAGGTTCCTATGGCAGAGATATTATGCAATATCTCATAATCTAGCCTGGTGACATACATTGTAGGCTGAAAAATCATATATTGTTAATGATGGAGTACTTTTTGTTGTTCTGAATTATTTAAAAAATCTAGGTTTTAAAAAGTGTCATAAAATGCAATTTTTCTTTATGGAATTGTTCTAAAAATAGCAATTTTCAAGAAATATTAGGACACGTTTCTCAAAAAGCATAACTGTAACACACAAAATAATGCTATTTCATTGTACCATGAAACATTAACTTCATGAAAAATTCTGACTAGGTTTCTATCTTAAGTGAAACACAGTTTCTTAACTTTGTCTAATACTGTAAAACCATTTATTTTCACTTTGAACCTTGGAGAGAAACAATGAGTTCTATTGTTATTTTACATGTTCATGAGATTTTAATCTAGCGAATTTTACTTATCAGCAAATATAGTGAAATTAAAAACGAGCAAATAATTAATGCATTTTAACACTGTGTGCTGACTGCACTTTTCATTTCAAGTGAACACTTTATATTTTAGACATGTAGATAAAAATATCAAGCCTGATTGAAAATTTCCTGTAATTAACAAAATAACCATAAATAATATATCAGCTAAATGTTTGTTGATACAGGAAACCAACATTCTTTAAATTCAATATTGTTTTTGGACAGCCACTTTTCATTTTCTTTTTATGCTTTATTACTCTAAATACTTTATTTTAGCTGGAATTAATTTTTGCTGAAAATACTTCTTGGCTGTTTTGTATGACATTTATTGTCACTAATTTTTGCAGAGTTGAATATAAAATATAGGGGAACACATTATTTTCAGTAGATTTTATTTTCACTGATTCACCCTCCAGTGAAAATAAAGTACTTTAGAGTAGTAGCAAATGTGTTACAGGTACATGATGGAGGTTTGTCTAAAATAATAATAATGAACTTTATTGTTCCTCTGTTTCGTTAATAAGACAATAATTTGAAAATAACTAGGATGAACATATTGTACTAAAAATTATCAAATTAGGATCATAAAAAGTCATATTTCAATAATCTAGGATACAATAAATTTAACTGTTGGTTTATATGCACTTGTATTGGAGATACGTTTCTGTGAGAGCAAATATTTTACATTTACACACAATAACTTTGTGGATGTTATTACAGTTATTGAGAGAATTAGATGAATATTTAACTTACCAGCTTTTGTTCCTTGACCAGAAATAAAGATGTGTTCATATTGCTCCGCTGTGCTGTCTGTGTATTTAGCCCTTAGTGCTTCGGGTAACGAAATTCCCGCCGAAGAAGAGGAGGAAGAAGATGTGTTGGCTGCCATGGTTACCAGTTACGAAATTCAACACAGTTCTGAAGAAAAAGAAAATTATATATTTCTATTACCGTATACGGTATAATTCCATAGGTGGTCATTCTAAATACAATTACAAGGTCAGTGTCAATGTCAACTTAATTGTATTAAATTAGTCAAGTCCCTGTTATTGTATTACTGTGGCTCTACCTCGGGCACCCACAACATAACTTCAAACAAATACAGGTGAGGGCAGTATAACAAACTGAAATACAACAACTACTGGAGTACATGGAGGAACATAGACTGGAAATCAAGTCTTGCTTGACATGAGTAGTTGTTTTAAATTACATGCAAACTATTTAGGGACAAAAATAGTTTTACTTAATTTTTTAACACAAATAGTCTACAGTATTGAAAGGCCTGTGGTAAAACTTTTTTCAAAACAAAATACTGTAAATGGCTTAATTTTCACTGACAGGAATGTTCAAGATTTGATGATTGGCATTCGTCAAGACAACATTTTGTGAAAATCACTCACACTCCAGGATTGCAGAAAAATGTCCACTGCTAACAAAAATTTTAAACTCACAAATTTAATGAAAATATGTCCTTCTTGAAATTAAGTGGTTTACAGTATTCTACAGTTGTGTGAAGTCTGTGGTAACACTTGTTTTAAAATAACATTATCCATTGATTCATTGTTCAGTGTATGATTATTTAGTAACGATAACACTCATTAGAATACAATGAAGTCTCATGGTTGGTTGAACATTGCAGTATCAACAGATGCTCTTTTGTCTACTTATCCATGCAGATGCACCCTTCACTGGGAAATTGCAAGTTTATACTACTGGTATAACAATTTCACCACCAGTTCCCTCATTTCATCACAAAATAGTCTTATTTATAGTCTGCATTTTCCTTCAGAAGACTGGGAGAAAAAAAGCCAATTTTTTTTAATAAAAACTGAAAATTGACTCAAATTTTGTCTGTTGGCTCCAAAATTAGGATTCATTTCTAGAAATATTAAAGAACACAAGAAAAAAGTGCAGAACAATGTGGGTGAGAAAGTCTGGTGTTGAAAAGGTTAAACCACTTAATTTTCACTACTGAGGTAATTTGGCTATTAATTGATTTTATGGCATTTCTGAAGACAAAATTTCATGAAAGTTGAAAATATTCACAGCTACAAAATTTAATGATTTTCAATGACTCGTAAAACTTCCAAAAATTTGCCTCTCATGAAATCAGAGCAGTTTACAGTATATTTATCAGTGACCTAAATCTTATAAATTACCTTTTTCAAACAATGCTGTCATTTTTTTTTATAGAGGGCATACTGTAGAGTTAAAGTTAAAGCAGCATTCTGAGCTATGAGGTCATTCCTATAAATAGATATGATTTATCATGATCTTGAGACAAACGTCAAAAATTTGTCTGAAATTGCTTAGAATCTGGAAAATGTACAATATATTAAAATTTCATAATTTTCAGCACATCAAAATGTTTAAATTGTTTTCCTCTAATTTTTTTTTTCTAATGGTTTTTAATACTGTAAAATACTTCATTTTCGCTTGGAATTAACTTTCGCTATTTTCGCTGAAGGAGTGAAATCCAGTGAATATACCTTTTTTCCTATATTTTACATTCAACTCACCAAAAAGCAGTGAAAATAAATTTCATACAAAATACCCAAAAAGTCTTTTCAGCGAAAATTAATTCCAGTGAAAATAAGTTATTTCACAGTAGTTAAAATAGACATTAATAGTGAACCATGCTATTGAAAATAAACAAGACAACTCCAGTGCATAATACAGCTGTATTAGTGGAATTGTATATATCTCAAAACTGCTCTATTGTGTTCATATTGTTTATTATTAACAGTCATTTTAATCTTGGAGAATATAAGCTGTACCAGTATATTTTACAATTACAGTAGAATATTTTATTTTAAATAAATTATTAATTTATTTATCACTAAAAAGGGGAAGTTAACCTTGCACTGGTATTTGTGTGTATACCTTGAAAATACAAAGGAAGGAAAAAATGAAATGATTTCTATGGTTACTGTATTAGTGTGTTTAGTAGTGCATACACTTTCATAAATACATGTATCATAGGTGCATGTGTCTATGGTCTGAATAAGTTATATTTTATTTTAGCCACTTTAATACCATCTAGGGTACTGTAAAATACTTTATTTTAGCTTGAATTTATTTTCGCTGAAAAGACCTTTTGGGTGTTTTGTATGTAATTTATTGTCACTGATTGCTGATGAGTTGAATGTAAAATATAGGAAAAAGGAGATATTCATTGGATTTACTGAATTATTCCTTCAGCGAAAATAGAGAAAATTAATTCCAAGTGAAAATAAAGTATTTTTTTTTTATCATAATTAATTCTGTTTTATTATTTGTATTAAACTTACACAACCCAATTCTCATATACAGGTCATCAACAAATTGTTATTTATAAACTGCTTGTAATTTTTTGCAAGAAATAAATTTGTGTGAATTTCCATGAGAATGGTAAATTTTTGTAGCAGAGAAAATTTCTCCAGGGTCCAACAACACAGTGTGTCAATGACTTTCATGAAATTTTGTATTCATCAATATCATAACAATTTTAAATCAGGAATTTTGTTTTTCGGAGAACAAAAAAACATTATCATAGTATTTACTGTAAAACAAACTCAATATTGCGTTATGTAAACAACAGGAATTGTCAAGTATACTTAATCTATTACATTAATTGTTTTTAAGGACATAACTACCAAAGTGCATTGAAATTGATAATCATTCTGACCAAGTATAGACTTAGTGTTTCGACGTTTTGTTCGGAAATTGTAATGCACTTTAAACTCATATTTTTAATTTTACAGTACATCTGGACATTATTCAAATTATATTCTATAATTTGTTTATTTTTTTTTTTCGATGTGAGAACTCCACATTCCCCCTGTTTTCTTGGAATCTATCCAGTCACTGGAATCAATGAAAAAAAGCCCAAAGCCATGCTCAAAGAACAATGCCCAAATTTAAAAGGATTAGCCTCCCAGCTGCTTTGCGTCGCAGCGCGTCGGTCATTATTTGAGGCCGGCTGGATGATTTTCATTCAAGGAACATTTAAAAACTTCAACATTACCAATTTCTTGAGACTTCTGCGCTGATTCCACGAGAGTCAAAGCATCTACTTGTTAGTCCTCGCAACTTGCAATGAAAAATACTCCTCAGGTGATAGACGAGTTTATATTTAGAAGGATGAGATCACAATGTTGTGATCGTACAAAAGAAATACACACACAATGTAAACATGAACCGTGAACCTCAAACAATCAACAACCGTGGGTCAAAGGTCAACAGTCAAAGGTAATATTTTCGATATTTGTTTTTTAATATAAAGGTACTTTGAAGAACTATGTACATATAAATCAAAAGAAAATATATTTTTGTTATTTTATTTATAAACAAATATTTGCGTCGACGTTTAAATCCAGTATTCATTCTACAAAATTTCATCGGTCAAAGGTCAAATAAAGAAAAAGCTTATACTTTATTTTTCGAGAGTACGGCGACTAAAGAATACAAAAATTATATTGCATTGTCTTCTTTCAAGTAATCTACATATACTTGTTTTTTTTTAAGTTAAAGAAAAGCCGAAACTCGTGAAAAAACAAAAGACGTGTCAGCTTTCCGTGATGACGTCATCGTCCACGCTCACGATAATATGAGAAAACATATACCGAACAAACTAGCATTGCAAATGGAGACTGTTGACGTGAAAGTCGATTCGGGTGTTACTAACAACGACTCTGCTGACGACAAGGCGAGGTAAGTACTTCTCCAATTCAGATAGGTTGTAGAACCGTTGCTGTTCATATTATATCCGGAGTTTCAAGCGATCCGGATAATTGGTTAAAAAGAAAAGAAGTTGAAAAGTCTTCCTATCCGTATGTATAAATATTCATTCAGAAATTGATATTCGCAGACGATATTCTAAAAAAAATCACAACGTCAGAATGGTGGACACGGGCCAGCTGACGCATACACTTACGGTCACATAAAAACGCGTGTACATTTTGTTGGTACACGTTGCAGTAATTCTTCAAAATTCATAAACTCGTTAATCATAAATGTAAATCGTAATTTTAATGTGTTTTTGAAGCATAATCTGACACACAGGAGGGAGGAACTGTGTCTGACATTTAATTTATTGTAGTATTAAAAACCGGGTGATCTGGAATGTACCAAAGAAATATTGAATAATGTCCAAACAGAATTACAGAACTAAAACATATCAAAAATATATAAAAAATAAATTTAGCAAAAATGCTAAGAATGAATGCAACATGTATGTTTTTTTATCTAGCTAAGGAATGTAACACTCCATTCGTATTGATTAATTCATTATTGATTATGTTGACTCTTGCACTGATACACATTTTGCTTTTGGTATTTGTTAATTTTTAGGGGTGATACGAAAGTTGAAAGGGGTAGGGTGATGAATAAAATGTATTTATGCATGACAAATACATGGTATATTTGTAGAGACAACCATCCATCATTTAAGTTGGATGGTAGCACCACCCCACCCCCACCAAAATAAATGTTTAAACTTTAACATTTACACATGCAACACATTCACTGGAGCTATAATATAGATAACATTTCACTGTTTTATTGTATAATTTAATGTATGCGAGCTCATCTCAGTCATGGGTTGATGTGTAAAAACTTTATAATTTTGGCATTGGCACATGTATAGAATAACAATTTATAGTTTGTTTTCACAATTTGGAGAATAATTTTAACAATATTTCAAACCAAAATTGTTCTGAAACTTATATACCAAAATCCTTGTACTATACAGACCCTAACCCTAGATTCTTGTTCAGATTGGTACATGTACATGTATATTCCTAAAATATTAAGCTTGTGTCTTGCCCAGTTACAGTATAAATTCTGAGACTTCTACTCACCCTAAACTTGCAGACAGTATCGTTTATTTTTTTTTTAGTTTTTTTAATAAAATAAGATACAAAAATGTATCATGGGAGTGTATAAATAAAATTGTTCATTTTGCGATAACTCAGCTATCGCCATTTATAGAGAATGTATCCAAGTCTATATTTGAATTTGTATTTGTGGTAATTGAAAATTGTGATGTTTGTTCATGTGCAGTGTTCTCCCCAGAAAAATGTATCAGAGTGGCGGATAATTTGCATATAATTTACATATCATTAGCATATGTCTGGAGATAAAGAAAACAATAATGACAGGCTTGCATGGATGAAATTGTGTCTTTATTTTTTAACAAATTTATGTACAAGATTAAATGAATCTGCTGCTGTGTGATTTCTATGTAATGTTGATTCTTCGGACTTTCATGGAAGCCCAGTGATCTGCAGCTTTTGAGAACGCCGTGATTTCCCACTTCTAATGACATGGCCTTCTTGTGCATCTCCGAGTGTGCGTGTTTATCGATAACATATTTCGTGATATTTATACATGGCATAGAATTCCATTCCAAAGAACTATTTCTGGATGTTTTTAAGTTGAATTTTCCACATATGTGACACAGCATTCCTAAAAGATAAGAAATAGGAGCCAATCAATACTTGTATTTAAAAAATATCGTCAC